ATGAATGACACCTCCACACCCACTTGTGGTGGCTTGCCTTTTGTTATGATGCTGGAAGCTACACCACTGGTATTTCATTTATCGTCGGGGTTATTAAGGCCAACAGGTTTTAGTGAGGCTTCCAAATTCCAAACTAAGAAGAAAGGCCTGGTGTTCTACTTCTGAAAACTGCCAATGAAAACCCTATAAATGGATCACAAGAGCGTATTATGTGATACTGTTGAAAAGAAAAACAAAACACCAAACCACTGGCTGTCAAGTGGATTCTATTTATGTTGTTGTTTTTGTTAAGCGCCATCAAGTCAATTCGGACTCAAAGCCAATGTACAACAGAGTGAAACACAGCCTGGGGTCCTGCAGCAGCCTCCCATTGTCGCAGCTCCTGTACCGATCCATCTTGTTAAGGCCCTTCCTCTTCTTCACTGTCCCTCTACTTTACCAAGGCTGCTGTCTTTCTCTGGGAGTAACATGTCCACAGTACGGGAGACAAGTCTGGCCTCTGAAGACATTCTAGCGGTACTTTTCCCAAGACGGAGTTGCTTGTTCTTTTGGCAGTCCGTGGTACTTTCAACAGTCTTCATCAACACCATAATGCAAATACATCGATTCTTCATCGGTCTTCCTTATTGAATGCCCAACGTTCACATGCACCCGAGGGACTGAAAATACCAGCGCGTGGGTCCGGCACACTTCAGTCCTCAAAGTAACAGAGGTCTGTGCAGCCGATTGACTCAGTGCCATGCGCAGCTTGATCTCTTGACTTGATGTCTTGATATCTTCCAGCTACAAACAGGATAAAGTCCTTGACGATTTCGATCTTTTCACCTATTGGTCTAGTTGGGAGGATTTCTTTACATTGAGTTGTGATCCAGATAAGGCTGCCATCCTTTCTGTTCTTCAGCAAATGCGTCAAGTCCTCCTCGCGTTCAGCCTGCAAGGTTGTGTGCATCGGCACACTGCAGGTAGTTAATAAGCCTTCCTCCAATCCTGACTTAAAGTGACCCTAAAGATGGTTTCCAAGACTGTACATTTCTATGGGAGCAGGCAGCCTCATCTTTCTCCCACAGAGGGGCTGGTGGATTTGAACCAAAAACTTTACAGTCCGAGCCTACCAGACGGCACCATCAGGGTCCCTGGTAGGAAGGCATTCAAAACACACAGTGGCTGCAACAATAACTTGAACATACTAGTTATTGGGCAGTACTCCCCACCAAAACCAAAAAACAACTCACCACCACCTGGTCGATTCCAACTCACAGTGACCCTGGAGAGCAAAGTAGAATGCCACTTAGGGTTTCCGAAGCTGTCAATATTTACAGGGGCCTTGTCATCTTTCACCCTCAGAGTGGCAGATGGATTCAAACTGCTGACATTGTGGTTAATAGTCAAAGGTGTAATCCACCATGCCACTAGGACTCCTTAAATCTAGCATAGGACCAGGCACTATTGTGTTCTCTTGTACAAGGGTCGCCATTGAGCTGGAGCCAACCTGATAACTACCAATAGCCTCTAGCGCATGGGCTCTCCACCGTCCTCACGCCGCGACCCTTTCATTCATGTGGTGGAGACCCCCACCCCAATCATAATATTATTCTCATTGCTACTTCTGTCATTTTGCTACTGTTATGAAATGTCATGTAAATATCCTATAAGCAGGATGTATTTTCATTGTTACAAATTCAACATAAAGCATAGTGATTCATCACAAAAACAATGTCATTATATATTGTGAAATGACAAATGACAAATCAATGAAATGTAGTCTTGAAGCATGGTGTAGCATGGGTAACAGTCTTCACACGGGGTACTCGTAGGTGGGCGTATCTGCGTGTGCGCGGACACGCCTGAAGATGGATAGAGGAGCGGTGTCTCAGTCCTAAGACCATCGGGAATATGTGTTTTCCGATGGTCTTAGGCGACCCCTGTAAAAGGAT